ATGGCGCGAAGCGCCACTGCAGTCTTGTGTGTAGATATGCATACATATACATGTTTACATACACATATACATACATATATATATATGTGTGTGAGTGTGTGTGTGTGTGTGTACAAACGTTCGTACATACACACATACACAAACAAGCAAACGGTCAATCATACATACATGCATACATACATACATACGCATATGTGCACATGCATGCATGCAGACACACATATATACATACACACGTACATGTTTACATATGCATGTGCATGTGCATATACACATACAAATGCATATGCATGCACATACAGATAAACATATCCATGTACATATACATATACGTGTGTATGCGTATGAATCGCATCTAGCAGGCTGCCGCCAAGCCCACCTCAGCACCCACGTGGCCAATTGCGTGGAGTTGGCAAGTCGTTCATTGTCGGCGTTCTGGTGCGACGCGAACTGCGCCGCCATGCGCCGCTATTTCTTCGTCTGAGATGCCAACTATATCTTCAGCTTTCATAATTTCCACTTCCCCAACGCCGATCGATTTCTTGCTGTGACGGTTGTGTTATGTTGTGAATTGCGTCGAACCTACTGCGATTAAACCCGCTGGCATGGTAGCAGAACCGTCGGCAAGAGACCGTCTACAGCCGAATGTCCAACGACCCAGAGTGCCGCTCCAACACCGCAGGAGCTTGCCGAAGCGAGCAGCGGATCCACCCTTCCACTCGAAGTGGGCCCATTCGTCGCTATGCAGGTGCTCAGCGCCTTGCACCGGAATGCACTGTCGTGCAAGTCGCCTGGCACCAGCGTCATTGCACGATTGTGCGAAAGGCGCCCAATCAACCCCGGACCTGGGACGCGATCGTCTTTGGGTTTGCGCGGCTTGCCTTCCGGGCGGGCGTCCCGCTCGCGCATGCTGAACACGCTCGACAGACACGACGCTTTCATGAGCGACGCCATGTTCTGTGAGATGGTATCACAGTGGGGGTTTACGGCCAAGCGGGCGGCCAGCATCCTCGGCTTGCCACACCTCCGCAGTGCTGGTTTCGCGGATGAGAGCCTCGTTTGTGAGATTGGAGCAAGCGTGTTTCGCCGGCAGGAAAACAGATGGAAAAGTTTCATTATGTCGTTCCGTGCGCTGTAGTTCGCCGAGCGCCTGAGTACGTGGACAAGCTGTCACGACGCAACGTGGCCGACGTCGTGTAAAGGCATTCCTCCCGCTCCGCCGAGTCTTGCCTGACCATGAGGGGCAGACCGAAAATCGGACGACGATGATGGGGAGGAAGATGACAGAAAACACGAGGGGCCCAGGGTAGGACGGATGAGGCCAAGGGTGCGCGATACAAAGGGCCGCAGAAGGCGAGGGAAAGAAGGGAGTGGAGGAGGAGGAGGAGGAGGAGGAAGAGAAAAGGGAGGAGAAAGAAACGTGAAAAAGGCAAAACATCGACAAGCAAGCCGCTCCTTTTTTCAGGACAGCTTCCGAGGGGAATTCCACCAGCCCCCAATTACGGGCATCGCCCTCCCTCAACCGGAGGCGCACAGGTGCACGAATGCCCTCGTCAGAGACATTCAGATACATTGTCGGGCGCTGCCGACGCCCAAGGCGCGGGGAACGGTGCCCTGGCGAACTCCGACAGTCCCACACAATGAGGACAACGCGAACCAGGACAAGTAGCGAAGCGATTCGCGATAAAATCCCCACGCAAGTCCCACCTGCCGCACATCCTGGACACCAGCCCGACCACACTGGTGCGCGCACACGTGCAACAGGCTCCATTTCGATAGGTTATTGATCGTGTTTCCGCGCGCGCACACATACCAACGGGCACGATTCGAACCGCATTCGAGTAATCACAATGCGTTCAAGTCCTGAAGACACAACGAAGGACAGAACCGCTGAGGGCGATTTTTCCATACACATTCAGGGCGAATTCCACAAAGTGAGCGTCCCAGCCGTCGGCCCCCGCGCGACCACGCCCGCCTTCCTCCCCACGGGCACACCACACCTGCGTCAGAAGCAAAGCGCGCGTTGTTTTAGCAATGCGATTGCCTCACTAGCGAGGCCATCGGAACCCATGCCCCTGGATCGCGACGCTTCTGCACGCGCACACTCCACGACAAGCCCGATGCAAACAAGCAACGAGGGAATCACAGCACGCCCGGACAAACAATCACATACCGAAGGCAAGAAGCAAACAAATTTCGGGGCAGCTTCCGGGCGAGCCCACAAATTGCGCATCCTAGGCACCAGCGCCAATTATTTCCCCCCCCCACCCCCTCCCCCCCCCCCAACGCCCGCGAAAGCCCCCCGCAATCATCACTGAGATAGACCCCCCAAAAGATTTGCCGACCCCGCGCCCCCCGACCCACCGCGCACATACACACAGACACGCACACACACACACACACACACACACACACACACACACACACACACACACACACACACACACACACGCAATGATTTCGGCGCGCAGCCGCATACATGCACGTCGTTGTCGTCCTTTGCGCACGCGCATCGCACGCAGCACCGCCCAAAGAACCTTCGGGGAATTCGTT